ACAAACCACCTGCGTACATACATGTCCAAGAACAATCCATCTCATTCTTATTAGAAGCAATTGCAATCTGGCCTGGGGATCATCCAACATGACTACCTACACCATACTGCCGGTATCGATAGCGGATTCGGCAGAATGGATGGCGAGAGCTCATGAGGAGGAAGGAGCGGCCATACCGCCTAGCTCCCACAGAATTATTCAGATTTCAGGAAAAAAAATTCCTCATGCTGCATTGCGGTGACTGTGCCATTGCGATGTCCAAGCATTGTCGAAGAGCGCCCATCAATTGCGTCTTGTGTCCTGCCCGTGTCGCCCGTCGAGTCGGTCATCAATTGCCGACAGTTACCAGCATCCCCCGTGTTTTTGCCCTCCGAAGTGCCGCTCTCGCAAGAGACGGTGCCTTTCTGGTGGTGGTTTCAGTCGCTCCCGCAATGATATACCCCCCCATTGTAAGTGACCGTCATCTCACCGGCCTCTGGCGCTGTACTGACATGTAAGATAGCTCCAATCGATACAATGGCTCCCCCTTCAGTTCCAGCAAAGCGAAGCGCACCCGTCTTGGACACGTTCTCGTAGAGCCTCTCGCGACGCCAGCCACTGCTCAAAGGCGCTCAGGCCGTCTCTCCAATCAGCCCAAGGTCGATTACTCGCTGACGAAGGCATCGGCCCGCTACGACGAGGATGATGACGACGAGCCTGATCTCTACAGTGCGTCTCCCAAGGCGAAGATTGCTCGAACGCCCGCTCCATCAATCAGTCCTCCTTCCCGCCGCCGCTCCAAGGTTGATGTCGACATCAATGGCGATTCCGAAGCACCGGCCGACGACTCGGACTAGGAGCCCACCGCCGTCGACAACGAATTGGAAGTGGAGCCCGCCGCCGGCGACGACTCGGAGGACGAGGCCGGTCGAATCGTGCAAGTTGCGTATGTGGATGAGAACGGTCTCACACGGATTGGGACGCAACGAAAAAAGCCAGCAATCCATTTTCGTTGGGCACCCAAGAATTTGTCGCGATCCCAATTCGCAGAACGACGCTCATGGATTGGAAAACGGATCGAAATGTCACAGTCGCCGATCGCACAGTTCATGACGCAGAGAGGAAGGCGATTGAAGAGAAGCTTGAATCACTTCTGAGTGTATATGACGAACATGTTCGGCCTTCGTCTTGACCACAAGGCTCAGGTGCAAGAGTGGGAGACGTGGACCTTGGAGAAACAAGAAGAAGTCCTCGAATGCATTCGAACGGGTACAAAGACCAACGACGTCGCCACTGCGTTAGATGGATATGCAGTAAAGGACCTCTTTTATGTGAAAGCTGAAAGGACGAATG